TCTCTCTCTCTCTCCCTCCTTCACCAGCCTTCTGGGGTAACAGTTTTTTTATCTGCTGTTTGCAGCGCGTGGCACTGAGTCTGGAGGATGATGGCTATCCCTGAGGGGGGGGATACATCCTGCCCCCCCTCCCAATTCCATCCTGGCCCCTCCTCTCACCACAGCCTCTACACCACTACAATGAGGCCAGTACAACGCAGACAAGAAAGAGAAGGAGTCCTCATTTTGCCTCCACTTTTAAGGAGCAGGGATGACATGTACATCTTGTATATCCCCCTTCCTCTCCTCCTTTCTCCACTGGAGTAACATTACTACCACTACTAGCCACTACTACTTCCCTTAGTGCTAGTTTGTCTGTAGTCTCTGCTTTACTCCTCTCTTCTCTCTGCCTCTTGTTAGCTGTAGTGGTGTGTAAAATGCTGCTTGATGATTTTGTTCAAACTAACCTCATTTGGCCGTCTCAGTGCACATTGTAAATAGAAGGCTGTCTGGCCACCGTACAAGGCGAAAAGCTGGCATGCATTATTTTTAATTGATATTATGACAATTTATTTATTTGTATGTGTTTGCTGTTGTAAATATGTAATCAGCATCTCTAAAGGCAGATTTGTTCAAGTCTGCAAGGATATACAGTTCTAGGCAAGGACATAGTTCCCTTTACATCTTGAGTAGATGTCATCCTTTCTCTCACCCAGCCTCTCAGATTTGCCCCTTGACATGCTATATGTAGGCAGTCAATGCTAAATATAGCCAAGGGGAAAGGAGACAGAAAAATATGATGGGGTTGTCTGCATCTTTGGAGGTGATTTTGGGGTGAAATAGTAAGGCAGGGTGCTTTTTTTGAGGGGAATAGCACGATTTGTGCCACCAGAGGGTAGTGCCTCAAGGCAAAAAGCATCAGGGTAGAAAAAGCAAAGGATTATGGGTAATCCTCTCAACGGTGTGCCTACAGTCGATAATGAACTTGGGATTGTTTGTTCATTTGCGCTGGGTGTTAGGACTCACACGTTGTTTGTCTTTGTGTCTGCTGCATTAATATTTTGGAGATAAATCTTCATATTCAGATAGCAGAGTGTTATAAAACACCTTCTTGTAACTGTTTTGAGATATGAAAATGGTTTTCAACTGCTGCCAAACACAGATAATAGTGGCTGAACTTGAGCACACAATAAACATCAATCCCAGTGTGTCAGTGGCTTCACAGCACTGCTTGTGGTTGTTTTTAGCTTGACAACTTCTCCGTCTTTAGTCCCCACTTTTTAACAAAGTGTTTTCTTGATGCAAAACTGCAAAAAATGAGCCCTCATTTGGAATGACTTTCTGCTGTCACTGACTGCAGAGCGTGTTAGTGGCCCTGTTTTGTATGGGCAGATGAGTAATACGCCGAGGCTGACTGAGCCGAGCACTGATTTGATTTGAAAGCTGGATAGAGAAGAAGCGTGTAAACCAGCGTAAAGAGCTGATCTTCCATTGGCTTGCCACAGACATGCTTCCAGTCCATTGAATCAGATGGAATTCATGCTCAGTGACTATTGCAATAATTGCTTACAATGTGTTGTAATAGTGAATTTCTAGAAGCTGTCATCACAAGTTAACGTGATAGCTGTTACAAGTAGTTATGGCAAATTATTCCTACTCTGGACATCATTTAGTCCCAGTAAAGGGCCTTTTGAAGGTGTTAAGCATACTTATAATGCATTATAAGATATATAAGGTGTTTTACATTGTCCAAACTATACATACAACACTGGTCTTCCATTGAATAACAAATTTGAACAATGTTGCTTTTGTCCGTCACATCCTCGGATGTTTAATAAACCTTAAATATATGACTGAATAACAAGAAAAAAAGAATTCAAGAAGTCTTCCAATAGTGGCTCCGTACAGGCTCAGCATATGTATTCATCTAACTATAAAGACAGTATGTGCGTACAAACTAACAGTTGATTAATGGTAGTTATTATTCATGGTTCTCACTGTTTCCTGGAAAAGTTTTCTCAGTATAGATGCTCGGCTAACCACGGGGGAGGAAGAAAGAACCACAAAGACAAAGGTAGGCAGGAAATGTCTGCCAGGATTTACACTAAACTGTATGCAAACAGGTTTATGCTCGGAAGATGAATAGTGGGCCATTTATTTTGCTGGATTTCTGCTGATGTTGTGTTGAAGTGTTCTGACACTCACTCCGCTCACCTCCCTCAAATGGATGGCACTCTCAGTTTATGGTGCACAGTGGGGGATTTGTATGAACTGTATGTGACAAGTGGCATGCCAGACAAGTAAATTGTAGTCCTCTCCAGCACTGCACTCCCCTACGTCTATCTAACGAAGGAGGATCGAACACAAGGGGGAGGCCATCTCCCTTAATCTTAACTTTGTACCAATGAAGTAAAATAAAATGCATTACATGGTGGGGAAGAGTGTATCTCAGCTCAGCGTGATCCTGGACTGGCTTGGTGGCTTCCTGCAGTGTTTTTTTGGTAGAATTTAGGATTGACCTGTATGAAACAGGTACATTGACACAGCTGACAACTGTTATGAATTCTTACAGTTTCATACTTTTTCATAAAAAATGTATATCTAAGTCCTAAAGGAAAGATGAGGATGTTGTAAGATGCCAAGAAAGATGTCACAAGTCAGATATCTTTATGAATTTAAGATTAAATAAATCCAAAAACCCACTGCTGGATTGAACCCTGGGCTCAGCCATCTCTGCACTCCTTGTAGTTTTCTTTATGTCCGTGTTTGCTGCAGGTCTAATGGAGTTCCATACTGAGGGTTTGCAGTTAGGAGTATAAATTGCTTATTTATTGAGGTGACTGAGCGTGGCGTTGTAGAAAACTTATTATTGCTACAGTGTGAAGACAGATTGGTTGGTCCACTTTGTGGCCACCTTGAGGGCAGCCGTCTCCACTGAAGGACACTGAAAAAGTCCAGAAAGGAGCTTTAGTCATTCATCATATAGTAGGTAGTAATTGTAGTGGTTGTAGAGGACATGCTTTGACAGTATGCTTCCTGGGCATTCTTGGTTCATATTTTCAGGAATCATTTAGGAGCTAATTGATGCTCTGATGGCAGCATAATCATAGTTTTACTATCAGTCAGCTCCATAAACACCAGGCTGCAGTTTCAAGGATCAAGTTGTGCACTCTTCCTCATGCTGAAGAGGTCGAAGAATAATTAATTGTGTGTTTATGTACATATATGTTCAGTGATTCAGTTATTGTTGTAGAGGTACGTTTGTTTCTCACTCCAGGTCAGTTTTTTGTTATTTACTTGAAGTCTTTAAGTGTTAACTCAGTAGTTGCTGCATTGTTGCATGTGCAACATAATATCTTGCACAAACATATTTAACATTAAACCAAAATGTACTAGTAGATTGGGAACCGGTTGCACCAGCTATTTGTAAGTTTACACACCACTATATTAAAACAGGATGTAAACCCAAACAATTGTTGAGGTAATGAGATTTGGTTGAGAGGTCTAATTGGCACTAGATCAAAATGCTGTTTAATGATGTGCAGTAAACTTGGAAGTTTTTAAATTACATTTCACAACAAAATAACACAATATACATTACTTAGTATAATGTCAACTTAGTGTAATTAGATATTTCCATTTTTTATAAATTGTATGAATACTGCTGACTCTGAAAGACATATTTCTACATATTTAAAAATACCAAAGTTACTTAAGTCTTTACTTGTTAAGAAACTCTTCATGTTTTAATGGTGAAACCCAATTTAGTCAATCAATAATCACACGGCAGCAGCTAGTTGTTCGTATAAAACTTTGGAAGGACTTTACACACAGACTTTACAAACAGCTGGTGCAACACAATCATGGTTCTCGAGCAAAACATACACTTTGGATACATATTCACATGCTCAATAAAATTCCTGTGTTGTGTAGGCCTAGCAGTTTACTATCACAATAGGTCAAACTAACGTATGTCAAAACATCCATGACAAGGTTGTCTGGTTTATTTTATTAGAAAGATGTTAAATTAGTAGCTCATCTTAGCAAATTCTAACAGCCATGATAACCCATAATCCAATCTAATTGTATGCTATAACGTTCCTGATTTGGTCTCCCTGTTTTTAACTGTCCTGTCGCTCGCCCTTCCCTTCCTTTCTGCACTCTTCTAATGGTTGTCTCCAGTCTCACCCATGCTGCTTTAAACAGGATGCACTGACTGCTTTCTAACATCACTCACATCTCTCCACCACTTCACTTTCTCAAGCACTGTATCAAAAGCAATGCAGCTGTGAGGCTTAAAGTCTTTCTGTGGTTGTTACACTACTTAATCTTAGTTTAAAGAGCAAAGTCAGCATTGCTGTCTCTGTGCACTCTCATTCTCTCACCCTCCCATCTTCATCTTAGCCATCGACATCTTTCCTTTGGCAAGGGCTATCAGTCTTTGGGTAGACAGACACACACACACACTGGACGAATGGGGGAAAAAAACACTGGAGGAAATAACCTGGAATCATACAAGTAATAAGGAAACCCCCAGAGCTGTAAAAGAGCCCTCCTGATCGTGAATCAGCGAACAGGCATACAAGCACGCTCAGCCAGGAGAAGCAGCCCCCCCACCACCAACTCCCCAAACCAGCTACAGTTTTGGACTGTGGAAGGAGCCCTCACTGACTCTACTTGGCTAGCAATTAGCTCTTCTTGACCCAGTGACTTTCCTTCACTAACTGGTTCCTCTTCTTATCGTGTGTTTTTTGGACTGTTAGTCTGTGAGTTGTAGTTGTTGCTCTCTCTCTCTCTCCTCATCATACCGTTCTCAGTTTCATATTTGATCTTCTTGACATTTGATTACTTGAAGGGCAGTGTTCAGTCGCCTACATTTTTCTACCAGTCAGTGTAAAATGAAGGTTGGGGGAATAAGACAGCAATGGGGAAGTTGTGAAGTATGTGTGTGTAAATCTTTTTTCATGGGTTGGGATGATGATATACACTGGCAATATTTTGATAAATAACAATAGATTTGGACATTTTCCTTCAACGGCGATTGAGGTAGGAGAAAGTCACTGCAAATGTAAGAAACTATTGGCTCTAATTTTTTGCAAAACTGTCTACCTGCATTTTCTCCAAATGTTGCTGATGTGTCATTGCCTGCAAGGAAATCTCAAAAACCATCCAGGGCTCTGTCCATTCCACAGCCATACGACAGGCATTTTTTTACGCTGTTTGTTGCACAAAACTTTTCAAGAAGCCTTCTGCACTGTGTAAAGAGATAACGTTCTTAGGAGGGGAGGAAATAAAAAATGGGGGGGTCCAATGGTACAGTCCAATGGTTTTGAATCGTGACTTGTAAATACGTTTTCATACAGCAAAAACTTTTTGATAATGTTTTAAATGTATCTGTAAAAAAAGATGTACATAAACCTCTGGGGTGAAAAGGAGTGTAGACTATATATGAATTTATTTGTACACAAGAGCACTGGATTTATTTACTACTTGATTGTAACTAAAAATTAATAATCTGCCAAAGTGTTTTTATTTTAATTTTTCTCCTGTCTGTTCCGTTTGTTTTTGTTTTGCTTTTTAACAGCATTGCAGATTTTTAGTGTTCATACTGTATTTAATTCTGTTGAATAGATTTTGTTGTGTGTTTAAAAAAAAAAGAGGGGTTATCATTTTAATTTATTGGTGCCTTGTTTTGTGCTCCTGTATACTTTTACTCTTTCTGTTTTTCTGTGTTATGTGTCTGCGGGAGGGCATGGGGGGGTTAACTGGCGGGTTGGTGAGGGATGGGGTGGGGGGAGTTAAACACTTAGCAACTTCTGTACTTACATGGAATATCTGTACTGTATGCCAAAATGGTCTCACTCACGTTTCTATGAAATCAAGCTGTTGATAAATATCTCTATATATTGATATATTAAATTTATAAAAACTGTCCAACCTTTAGTTTGTACTGTTACTTTATTTCATGTCTGTCTGTGTTACATCTGGAAGCTGCCTTCTTGTTACATGGTAAAAAACATGGACTTTAGCTCATCATTAATACAGAGTATTGAATTTAGTACCTTCAAATTCCTAAAATCAAATATCACAGCATCATAAGCTTTTGATTGACTGAATGTTCATGTGAATTATCGTTACCAAGAAAAATACAAGCAACATAGGAACAATACTGTTGACCATATAAACATTGTGGAGACCCCATAGTTGTGGATATAGGGGGTGATTGTGGTTCAGGAGGGAGAGTGTGTTGTCCACTTACCAGATTGGTGGTTTGATCCGGTTCCTCCTGTTCACATATCGAATACCCTGAATCTTCTGTTCAATTATTTTGCAGCTAAACAAGAAATTTTTATGATATGATTATAAATTTAATCTATACAGCACCAACTCATAACAAAAGTGCTCTCAGGACATTTTTCAATAGAGTAGGTCTAGACCGTACATATGAGGCAAGATTTATGTAAAGTTATGTTATGTCTGCCATTTGGATATAATGTGTTGACATTACGTTATATAGTTTGGTAATAAGGTAAACCAGTGGCAGTTTTGTAACATTAACATGTAACAGTTTCCCAGTGTGTTTTACAACCTCTGTCCCTAAAATCTCCATCATGCAACAAGGTATAGGTATTATTTATATGTTTATTGTGATTCTTTTTTCTTTTTCATTATGAGGGTTTTCATGAACTTGGAAAATCATGAATATTCTCACAATCCTACATGGTTTTCCTGGTTTATTTTGAATTGCCACAGGAGGGACACTAGAAACAAACTTAGAGCTGATGTAGCCAGTCAAATTTTTGGGAAACATTTTAGGCGAGTAACTTCCAAATATACTTTGTTCTATAACTTTTATTGTCTAACACAGAAAATACTATACTACAAACAAAGGTTATATTCACCAGAAACACTGGGGTGAATGATTTCACAAGGTCACATGGGTGATTTTGACATTGACACTGAAAAAAAAATCTATTTGTGTCTCTTTGATGATGGATGAAAATGTCACCAGCACCCTGCCTGGTTTGTTTCCTCTTTGTCCACAGTGCTCCAGAGAAGAAGACAAGAGTTAAGGGAAAGAGAAACAGGACTGAAGAGACAGGGTAAAATGGGCTGACAGTATAAGCAAGTGGGAAAAAGTAACAGGAGACAAGGGATCTGTGTGTGAGTTGAGAGGAGTGACAGTTCACTGGGGGTTTGACGGATGAGCCGGCGGGGAGACTTGGCTGAGGATATGGGCGCTCTTTGGCCTGCCCATTGTTCCAGGGTTGCTGTTGCTCTTCATTGAAGATTCAACCCTGCCAGTGCCCTGCGCTGTCATCTCCCCGAGCATCACAGAAGCCAAGGCAGCTCAATGGTTTCATTGAAGATTCATGATAACTGAAGGACTCGTGGTAGATCAAAGGGTTATGGTGTTACGGGCTGTGCTCCATACTGCAGTGTCTGAGCAGACTGTAGCATATTTCAGGCTCTCTCTGACTTTCATCTTGCCTTTCCCTCTCTACTGTGTACATTCAAACAGACAAACAATTCTCTCAAATGATTATAATTATTCATGACAGTGCAGTTTGTGAAAATATCATTCTGCTGCAAGTTTATGAAATAAGCATTAAAAGTGTCTTCCAACTTAACATCCATCCTATGTTTGTGTTGAGGCTGCAAATCTGATGGGTCAGTATTTGGAATCTAAAGCTTGATTTTTTCTTTACACTGGTTTGATCATTTCTAGTTAAAGTACATTAATCCATCAGATTCAATTATAGACCTTTTGATAGACATAGCCATGCCAAGTTCTGATAGAGCACATTTCAAGGTCAATTTTAAAAGATAAAATGTATGTAATCCCAAAGTAAGCAGGTGCTTTAATTTGTGATCATGTTTAGTTAGATGTTAGAAATAAGGTCTGTGGTTAATACAAGTTTAAGAGATTGCCACGTTTCGTTCTACAATGTGAAAGATCAGTCAGTAAATACCCCACCTGAGAATTTTGATGCTTTTACATGTACAAAAAAGTGGCTAAATGAGACTGAGGTTGTCTGTAACATTAAACATCAGCACGCCAAACACGGAGAGTTATCTGCTCACTGGTCTGCCTTCAGAGTCTTGCTGTTGTGTTTATACTTACTATTCTAATTCAGACTTTCCAACTTGCATATTTTAATTACATGCTTTAATGACGAGTTGGAAGTTAAGCGGTGGAAGTTGAACTCATGCGACCATGGTGCAGTTTGTTTATAGCCTTCTGGCAATTTAATTCACACTTCAAAAATCAGAAAAAGTGGTGTGAACTTGTGAAGTTTGCTGAAGAAAACGTATAACTATCATAAACCTTTGTTTGCCACAGAGCTTATTTTTTTGCAATAATCCAAATTGAAATTTATATTTTTGTATTGAAGGAACCAGGGTGATGCTAACTTCCGAGTTGGCCTAACAAAAAAGTCATCCCCGCAGCACTTACGATTGTATTTGATTGCACTCTATTGCATGTCTACTATTTTTGATCAGTAAATAACAGAAGCACCCTACTAGCTTATCACTTTCCATTGGAAAAAATAAGTAGATAAAATATAATGCAGTACAACACAATAACACCACAAACCATCACCTGATGCATTATCATAGAGTTGAATCAACACTTCTGAGCTCACCTCAACAAAGATTTTACATTCTGATCTCCTCGAAGATATAAGTTGAACACCTATTGTATTACTTGATATTGTAGTACTATATTAGATTGTATTACATTATACTGGATTGCATTATATTGTACAGGTGTTATTTTATCCTTCAGAAAAAAAGTGGAGTGAGATGTTTTCAGACTAAGATAATGTGTCTTCTACTTTCTTGGAACTACAGTCAGTGTAGGAATTTATACTGTTTTTCTCTGAATAATTTACTCCATGTTTGACTGTGGTTCATGTTGAAAAAGAGGTCGAAATAAAAACCATAGAAATTGCAAATTCAACAGTCACCTCATGTAGACTCAAGGACAGGTGTTTGAAATCAGACTTTGCAGGGCAATCAACCTAAACATAGAAGGAGTCCATAGAGAGGCCATTTATAGCCAAGACTAGCCTCCACCATCATGGCCACAGCAAGCACTGGTTAATGGCCTCTCTATGGACTCTGTTTCTATGTCCAGGTTTATTAGTTGCCTTGAGAACTCTGATTTGAAACACCTGTCTTTGACACTATATAATGGTTGGCTGCCATCCTGATGAAAGCAGTGTGCTAGAAACACTGATTTCTTGAATTTTAGCTTTAAAAAACATGAATGCAGTTGTGTTTTGATTTGGCAGGTTTTCCCTCTTTTATTTAATATCAGCCTGTGAGCCAGTGCCTTAATAGGTGGGACTTTCTCCTCATTCTTCCTTTAAGTTAAAAAATGATGCCCCTAAGTGAAGATATTAATTGATTTTGTGAAACTGATTCAGCAGCTCTGTATGCAGCGAGGTAAAGCAGCCAAGAATTGCTGCTGCACTGAACAGGATTTTCTGTCTGTTAGAATTTTCTACAATTGTACCTCATTTTCCTGAGGTCATAATATCAATTTTCAGGGATGCCTTTCCTAAACTGAACTAATAATTGTATATAGTTATATAGGTTAATATAGTCACTCACTCACTCACTCACTCACTCACTCACTCACTCACTCACTCACTCCTGAATAATGGCGCTGGTGTTGGACTCTATTAGTTAACATTTGGATTTAGCAGGGCATCCAGGTGGTTGAGTGCAGAAAATCTCCTCTCTCCAACTGTCACTTAAAAATGAATAAAATATTTTGGGAGCCTGGAATGACAACTCTACTTATGAAAATGATTTCAGAATAGCAGAGCTGACCTCAGTGTGCTCACCTCCTCCTCCCCAGAGAGCAGTTATGTCAAAAATTGGTGGCACAATTTTGGGTGCACATTTCAATTTGTTCTTGTGTTTTTATAAAAGGTTTTATACTTAGCAATAGATTGAAACGCAATTATTTAAATCTAAGTCTAAGTTAGTAATTTATCTATTTAATCTGCCAATTTGCTCAAATCAAACAAAACCCACATATACAACATGCAGTATATTTTTGCAGTTTGTATGCAATATATTTAACTTTTTTAATAACTGCAAATGGCACAAGTAGTGGGACGTCTCTCTAACCAATTAAAGCACTCTCTAAATCAATATCTTCATATTACACTAGATTAGAAATGACTCCTGCACAGGAACGTAACGTCAGCAGGAGGGGCTGCAGCGGATATGTGCATGCAAGAAAAAATCTTTAACATACAGGATCAGCATATATGGGCTGAGGTAACTTGGTGGTAACTTTAGTGTTTTATTCAACATCTTATCAATGATGCATCATGTTTCAAAAACTGTGTCCATCCTGCATATTCTCACAATCAGCACCTGCCAAGGCTTTCTCGATTCAGAACCTCAGAACCTCATTACCACCACCAAGTCCATATTAGTGGGTTAGTTGCTGTTCTCGGAGCACAAGATGACATGCAGATTCCTTTTTTAAACTAAATTAGAAAACACCAGTCAGCATAAACTGTGTCAATTCTGTATAAATATGCCTGGGGAAGTACAGATACAATGTTGCCTTGCTATCACTAGACACTGGACACTGTGTCCTCTTTTTCCATACAGTCTATTTTTAGTTGGTTTTGGACTATTAAAGTTAAGACATATGCTATTTTGATATATATATATATATAAACATCATCTCTCTGTTAGGTTTAATACTCTGCCGTCCCTGCTGGCTGGAGGCCCCCACTACACTAATGTTATTACTACCAAAACTGTGAGTGCAGCAACACACTAAACCCCAAACTGGCTGCCAATCTCCTTGGCTCTTTCATCCAAGAAAGATTAATCAGCCATTTTGTTTTCGAGGCACAGCACTTTCAGTAAACCATAGTGACATAAAGCAGAGTCTGTGCTTATGTTTGCTGTAGAAATTCTTTTTAATCATTCTCTATTATTGTCTCCTCTCTTTTCCATTACTCCCCCCTCTCTCTCTCTCTCATTACCTTCCTTTCTGCCTTCGTGTTGCCTCTGAGAGCTTTGCTGAGAAGATGAAGGTTTATGGCAACCTGTGTGCGAACAGTTTCACAGAATGAACAACCGAAGTGTTCCACAACCATTGCAATAAAATGTGATTGTTAAAAGCAAATTAACATTCAGTCTCCCTCCACCTTTTTCAGTTCTTTCCATTTGCATCAGCTCTTTCCCGACATTTCCCTTCTCTCTGTCTCTCTTGGTCCATTTCATTTTACGTCTATCAGCGCTTTTGCTCCTCCCTTTGTAACACTTTGTGGCACCTTTTGTTGCAGTGATAAGGTGTTTCCACTTTGTGAAAGGAGCCAAATCGGTTAATTTTCCACATCTGGCCTCATAAAGTTAATGCAGTAAAGTCTCTTTCTGCTTTAAAAATGCAGTGAACACACAGCCACCCCGCTGCCTCTCTCCCCCTCTGTCTCCCTCCTTCCTCTGCCTCATGGATGACAGTTCCTATTATCTCCTGGATAATAAGTTGCACAGATTAGCCATGAGGGCAGACAGAGGAGCAGGGATATGGCACACTGTATGTGTGTTTGTTTGTGTGTGCCTGTCTGTGTTTGTCAGTGTATATGTTTTCTGCATTTGTGTGTATCTTCCTCAAATTCGCAGATTTCTGTTGAACTGTGTGTGTAGTTATTAATGTTTGCCTGTCTGTATTTGTGTGTGTGTTTTTGTCTGAGTGAGATTCTCTTTGTCTGTATTTAAGGATTTCTGACCAGCTGTGTGTGTGGCCATGTGTGTCTGTATTTGTGTCTGTCTGTATAGATGTATGCCAGCATGTGTGTTTGTGTCTGAATATGTGTGTGAGTATGTGTGCACTCACTGGAACACACTAGAGGAGGAGTTGATGGGCTAAGTGCCATTACCAGATAATTACAGCTAAAAGTCTCCATGCTAACAAGGATGGCTCATCATCTTGGTGTTGGCAGACAAAGAGGCCCCAAAAAACATCTGCAATGCAGATTAGGAGTACTTGTGTGTAAGAGTGCGTTTGTGTGTGTACATTCTATATTGTTATCTCTGTTCCTTCTTCCTGTTTCTCTCTCTCTGTGTGTGTGTGTGTATTTAGTTACTTGTATGACGATGGGATTACTGTTAAGCACAGAGACTCACATTTTCAATAAGAAACCAGCCTCTCAGTGTGTGGTTGCATGCAAGAGTTTGTACACAAGTATGAACACTGTATATCAGTGTAATTGGCTGGCACAGGAGCCCAGTGTGAGTTGAGTTTGAGGGCATCCATACACTACATTAAGTGGATGCCTGTAATGGGCTCGCTCTTCACTCCCTGTGATGGGCTTATTCCCTTCATAAATGGTGTCAGAGGCAGCCAGCAACAGGAACATAAAAATGTATAAGATGCAATTACACAAAAACACCAAAACAAATATTTTACCCTTTTGTGCTGCAGATGTTATTTTTGCAT